CACGTCTCGAGAAAGAGAGTAAATACTCTAGTAAACTCTTACATACTGGAGATTTGCCTAAACCGAGAAATAGTTATAATTTGGATTCAGCTGCAGGTATAGTTACATGTTGATACAAATAAAGTCAATTTACATATTACAATATTAACACTTCCATTTTTTATAATTTAGCAACTCAACCTCTTTGAATAAACTCGTAGTTCACGGTTTGTTTATTATTATATGAATTTTATTCAAAGGGTTCGAATTATTACAATGTGCTTCTACATATATTAATATTGATTAACAAGACACCGAAATAAAGTCATGCATGTTTACCATTACCGGACAGAGTATTAGAAAATATAAGAAAATTATTAAATTAAAAGTAAACATTGAACCAAATTATTTAGAGCTTATAACGTAGTCATGTTTGCCTGGACAGTGAAACTTATTTTCAATATCAGAACCGGCCGGATGATGCGTCGGCCCAATAATGTAATGCTACTGGATATTGCTATTTACGCAAGACTTCGATAGCCGCGATGGGTACATTTCATTACTAGAATGCAGATAGGAACCCTGGGAATGCAATACCGAGGCCGGCAAATCTTTCAATTCTTCGTCAAGCAGAAAAGATGACACTCCTGTAAGAAGTAAATCTTAGTTTATTCTATTGGTTACTGATAATATTACGCTCGCAATAAACTCATATAATTCAAGAGCTATTGTCACTCTCTTTTTGTGGAAAACAAACTTAATTTGAGCCTCCCCCGAATCAGTTGCTGCGTGTGTGCAGTCTTTGATAAAATACTGCTTCAAAGTTATATTATACTACAATTAAGAATTTAACGCAATTGGTTGATTTTAGACAAGATGACAGTTTTTTTATGACGTCAACAGTAGTGAATGTCGCAGCAATCAATGCAAAAATGCTGTTACACCGGTTCTGTAAAAAAAACAACAACGAGATATGTAGCCACTGTTATTAATACGATGAATCTTCCTACACGAGTACCCTGGGTACACATGTGGGTAAGCGTAAATTATACAATATTGTCGGATTATTGTATCAAGAATTGCAACACGCAGGTTATCACAAAACATATAAGGCTGTAACTTTGGATGAACTAGCATCAATGTGTTTATGACGTCGATTAGCGTAAATTTCTGCTGTCTCAATTTGGGATCTGCCCCAGTTCTAGGTCATTATATAAATGTCTATTACTATAGTTTCCCGAGACCGTGCATTTATCTATAATAATCCAGAGCAGTATATCAATGCACCAGTCGACTTCAAATAAATGTGTTTATCTAAATCTAAGACAATACCACAGTTCACTAGTCAACTTCAACAAATCATTAGCGAGAGAACCAAATAATGCACGACGGGCATTGAGTCTAAAGGGAGGTGTCTATAATAATCTAAAGCAATACAACAATTTATTTATTGACCTCAACAAATCGTTACAGATGGAACCAAATGACACCTGCGTATTGAGTCAAAGGGGATTTACTATCTAAATCTAAAACAATATGACAATTCACTACTTAATTTCAACAAAGCATTAGAGGTTGTACCAAACGATGCATGGACATTGAGTCGAGTCTGAGGGAAATGTCTATTTTAGTCTAAAAACAATATAAAAGTCACTAATAGATTTAATAAATCATTAGAAATTGAACCAAACCATATGAGTATTAGAATTTGTTATAAGATGGTCAAAAATACCATAAGAAATGCATAGACACTTTAAAATATTTCTAGCTGTTTTAATAATTTTAGATTTTAAAGTTTGAGATGCTTATGTACATACATAGAATTTATTTTGATGTGATGTAACAGTGCAACCAATAATTACAATTACTGTTATTGAATGACTTGTTCAAATGAAAAGGTATTTGGCTTTGAAATAATCAATAGCTGAGTTAGAACAGGTTTTTTGTATCTATAAATGAAAAAGGAAGCTATATGGTTGTATTTCAAACTGATTGCTGTATATAAGTCGGGATTATTTCAGAATATTAATAATAAAAAAAAAATAGCTAAAGTCAAAGAATTTTATCAAGCAGAGGCCAAACTAAAAGATTTACAATGCATTTGAAATTGACGAGTTTGAATTTCTGCGTGATAATAGTATTTACTTTCCAGACTTGTTTGCTAATGGCTTATTTCTTGCTATTTATTACTATGAGAATTTTCACTTTCTGAATGACACAGCTTTTATTTTATGTCATAATAAACTACTATTTCTAGTTTACATATTTATATTTTTGTAGCTAACTTTAAATGAGGTAATCAAGTTACATTAGTATAGATTTACACATTAAAACAAATGCCATTTGGCGTCCAAAACGACGTAATTTAGATGCGTATCATCAAACTCGGCAAATATACCACCGATATCACAAACAGGTGCCGCTGCGGTAGGTATACAGTAGTTGTCCAAATCAATTACGGCCTGGCCCATCTAATAAACAGCGATAGTTAGTACGATGTAATGCTTTAGTTTATAATATTGTTACTGTATTCTCTATATATACCAAATCATCGTTGTCCCCATTATAATCCTTATCCCAAACTTCGACATGGAGCTTGTGAGATCCCGGAAAAAAATTGAAGACGAAAGTTTCATCCCAATAAGGGTTTAAGGTGTTTTTTTTAACTGTTGTCTGCTTTTTATGATTTCCATCGACCCATAGTTTAACATACGGGTCGCCTTATTAATATAGAGTTAATAAACAGCAATATTTTAGTTGATGCCGATATATAGTAATTTATTCGAATACAAAATAATTCTTACTGAGGTCAGCTGATTAAACAAAAATAAAATAGAATATTAGTACAAGTCAGAAAATATAGTCGACAACACTATTTAATTGACGAGAAACTATAGCTCACCCCCTGAATCTTTGTTGGTCAATTCCTCCCCATAAACTTTAATACGTGAGACAAAATGTTGGAGTTAATATCTTACTACTGTGCATTTGACTCGTTAAAAAAGAGCTGACATCTACCAACAACTGCTGAGACTGCTCCAATAGGCTTTGCCGCGCTGGAATAATTTAATAAGCAAATAATTGCAAACACGAAAATTATAATTGTTGATCTGAAAGCCATTGTTTTAATTTATAATGTTCGTATATATTGCCGACTCTAAGTTGTGATTAAACTCGGTTGCCTCGTATTTGCTTTCATCAAAGTGAGCGTAAGCATGCATTATATAAAGAAAACTTGTGGCTGAATAATTGTCTGCGTATTGACTATGAACTTACCATTCAGAGAAACATTTTGTCTATAATTACAAAATTAGTATTTTGCAACATGCAACACAACACGCATGCTGTTGTCGGTGATGAAAATAATAATGCATGACGTTACATACCCGTCGAGAATATTGTTTAGAAACAAAAATACAAGCAATGTTATTGCTGTATTCATAGTGTCGCGCTTGTGGCTCTTTTCCCTGGTAACTTCGATCGAGCTATTTTTAGACTTTTCGGGGGATTTGTTTGGATTCACCGCTGATCGCTTTATTTATACTCCTTTTGTAAAAAACCAATAGATTTGGTGTAATACGAGATTTGTATGTGGGACAAGCGTAATAAGAAGGTTAAAGGTTTGAGTCGTGATAAGTCGAAACAATAGTTTTTACATATTGTAAAATAGTACTGACTACAATATTTATAGAATTAAACGTGACAAAGAATTTTGTAAACAGCATGAATTGTAAAGTCGACAATGCTGACAGCAATACAGTTTTATATTTTAGATTAATAAAATAGTTGTATAATTGTTTCGTTTAGACGTAAATGACGTCGAATGTAGTTATTGTCGGAGATAACGTTTTTGATGTGTAATATTGCCTACTGTACGTGTGAAGATGTTGTGCGGATAAATGTAAATAGCAGCGCGCAGAAAACATTAGCAACACTTGCAATTGGTTTAATCGTTAAGTTTAGTCGGAAAATATTAATATAATGATTGGAGATTGGCTTTGATTGCAATTGTTCAATAAGAGTAAAATACAATTATAATTCTGTACTATTATTATGTACGATTTAACAATAATATATTCCCATGTCTGAATAAATTTTTTTACACTACCCGTTTTTATTTGCGCTGTCAACTTTTTTCTGGTGTTTTTATTAATGTACGTAGTAACATGATGAACATATCCGACATGCTAAAGTATACATTTATTGCTATCTTTATGACTGACCAATCGATAAAATCTGGCGCATTTAAAACAAAAACAATAATGCTACGATAATCGTTGCATGCAAAATAATGATTATTGGAACAAAATTAATTTTTACGGCATTCTGGTTCTTACATCTGTGATACATATCATAGCGCAGGATTTATTTAAAACAGAAGACCGTTCTCGATAAGGTTAATATTATATGTCAACATAAATATCGACCAATTACGGAAAAAGGAATATTTAATAGTATTTGGTATGCTGTTATTGGTTTATAATAGGAGTACTTAGTTGCGCTGCCCATCAATAATAATATCGAAGTTGTTTTTTAGCCACTACTCTTGTTGAAAACGTGTGCCGTCTAAAAAACAGGTGCAAAGAGTAAATTTTTTCGCTCAAGTTAGCGCAAAATTATTAAAGCATTATGTAATTGTACGTATAGATGTAAGCGGTAATTATTAAATATAATAATAGTTTAGCTAATTACGTTAGCTTTGGATGTTGTTATAATATATTGGTTTAAAACTGTTGTCGCAGAAACGCTTTTCTATTGATCAAGCTCTTCTTCTCCTTATATAACCACACTAGCTATTCAAAATTTCGAATTTTTTTGCCTTCTCCAAAGTTACGCTATGCTGATAGAAAGTTATTATACAAGCAAAGACAGATAATAACTTTTTATCGTAATTTGCTTTATACATCAGAACGTGCCTGTTGTTTTTTTATAATTTAGAACATATTATGTTGTTTCTCTAATTGTAAATTATCTCTATAATTTAACTTGCGTTTTGTTAGAAAGTCGACACTTATTAACAAACATTTAATATACTAAAAAAAGCAGGCAGCTTATTGTAACTTTGGCAAAATCCTCATACATTATCTTTATTTTTACACTCTTTTTTTGAATCCAATTAACCAAAAAAGTAACGGTAAGTTTAAATTAAAATACTCTTTATTTGTTAGAGTCTTATTTCCAAAGAAAACTTTACAGTCACAAATTCAATTTACCAAGTCCCTGTATATTGTATCAATTAAAATTTACTGTATATTTTGAAAGTCATAGACATGGCAAACTTCAAATTTACGCAACTGCTTATACATAATACGCTGCTACTAACATAAGTGCTCATGGCTTCAACGGTTGGTAAGTTATAAATATTAACTGACTTGACCACAAATCTATTTCTTAATTGTAGTGTAAACATAATTTTCAACGTTTTTATTGCAGACACTTAAATTCAAACAACAGAATTTTGGGCAATTGTGATAGTGTTTGTATTACAAGTCTGAAAATTAGAATTATTGTTTTATGCTTGCCTTCCGTTAATAAGATAAGTTTGCTCAAGTTCTGAAGGTCGATGGTAATAATAAATAATTGATTTAGAGTCTCAACCACGTTCATTGCTTTATTTATCATCGGCACTTTAGATCAAAGTATCATAAAATAATAAACAAAAAATTTTTTTCTAGTAAATTTAAAGCCATTTGCCGCTGGGTTTATTTCGGATGTACATAATAATCTTAACAACCAATAATTACAGCTTCAGAATAATTCCAAATTTTTAAAGACTCGTGATACTAATGCCACAAACTTCGTATTGCATCACAGTATTCTGCCTCTAAAACAAAAGTCGGACTTTGACTAGCATAAAGCTTACTGTTATCTCGATCTCTCAGTAAAAGTAATTTATTCTCTAATTTCATTTACATACTAGTGTTTTACAGATTATCCTCCTCGTTAACATACGGCAGCGGCGGCAATTTTATGCAATTCATTGCGATACGTCTAACTGTCTCCGCTAAGCACGTTGTACTGTATATAGTGCTTCGCAAAGTTTTCCAGGTGGCTCTTTATGGGTTGAAATTATAACATCGCCATGTGTTTAATTCCCAGTAAAATTGGAAAAATAAGAATTGAGCCATTTGGTTGAAAATGTCCTCATCAAAGCATCCCAGATGTAACACATTAGAACACTGAAAGCGGTTCTCTTTGGTTTGAATTGTTCCATACGTTTAGAGAGCATTATCGCTCCCTTTTAGAGAACCGTCTTGTGATTGCCACAACGATAAAAGAAGTCATGTTTTTCAACGAAAATTTATGGAAAGGATTGACACTTTTGCCCATACTATGCATTACGTAAATCTATGAAAGTGACATCGCAATAATAAGTAACATTTATTATGCAAGTCATTCACGACACCTGATGGTGGGTCAGGACATTGTCTGTTTGTATCGCAGAATGTAAACCTTTCACATGCAATCATTATGATTGGACCAAGTTTGATCAATTTCTCTCACCATCAAAATCAACTCTCGCTGAATAAGCCATCAGCAAAAAATATCCCTTTTTTTTTTTCTTTCTCAATAATTTAAAATAAATTATTATGGCAGGAGAACTTCGTTTTGATGGCCGTACTGTTGTGGTTACTGGTGCCGGTGGCGGTATGTATGCCGCTACTACGTCTAATGAGTTGGCAAGAGATGTGTAGCGATTCAATTTTCAGACAATTTTCATTGATTCGCAACAAAACCATCAAGACGAGACAACGACATGCTAACAAATTTTTTTACCGTTTCTTAATCAAAAGGTCTTGGCCGTGCATATGCCATTGCCTTTGCCCAGCGGGGAGCTAATGTAGTTGTCAATGACCTCGGAGTCTCCCGTGCAGGCGATGGTTCATCGTCTGCAGCGGCTGACAAAGTTGTCGACGAAATTAAAAGCTTTGGAGGAAAAGCTGTCGCTAATTACAATTCGGTTGAAGATGGAGACAAGATCGTCGAGACTGCCGTCAAGGCTTTTGGACGAATCGATATCATTATAAACAATGCAGGGTAGATATTATCAAAAGAGAAAAGAGGGGAGGGGGACTGAAGAGAGGATTTGGTCGGTTTCGTATGGTCAGAAGAGACAATTAGCAATTTAGCTTGACTTGTGAATGGAATATGACTCGATTTTTTATTTACAGCATTCTTCGAGACCGATCATTCGCCAGAATGACTGATCAGGATTGGGATTTGCTCATGACGGTCCACGTACGTGGATCATACAAAGTCACAAAGGCCGCATGGCCATTCTTTAAAAAGCAGAAGTTTGGTAGAATCATAAACACTGCTTCGGCAGCTGGAATCTATGGCAACTATGGGCAAGCCAATTACAGTGCTGGTAAATATCATGGGAATAGTATTCCGATCTGGATGAAACTTTTAAAAAAATAATTTTTTACAACAATCTTAATACAATTTTGTACTATTTTTTTTTTCCTAGCAAAACTTGCCTTGGTTTCATTTACGCGAACCTTGGCCATCGAAGGAGCAAGCGCCAACATTCATTCAAACGTGATTGCACCAATCGCCGCATCACGTATGACCGAAACCGTCATGCCACCCGACGTTCTCGAGGCATTGAAACCCGAATTCATATCACCTCTCGTACTTTACCTATGTCACGAATCCACTCAAGAAAACGGGTCGCTCTTTGAACTCGGTGCGGGATTTGTGGCAAAACTGCGCTGGGAACGATCGAAAGGCGCCATATTCAAGGCCGACGAATCCTTCACACCGGGCGCTATCGCGGCTAAATGGGAACAAGTCACGAATTTCGAGAATCCAGACTATCCCAACAAGACGACAGATCTCAATCTCATCGAGTTGTATGAACAGGCCAAGAACCTTGCGTCAAACCCGAAAGGTGATGACTTGAAATTTGAGGGGAAGGTGGTGGTGATCACTGGCGCCGGTGGTGGGTTGGGTAGAGCGTACGCTTTGATGTTTGGCAGGCTCGGAGCTTCGGTGGTGGTGAACGATCTTGGCACGTTGACTAACAGTCAGGGAAAGTCTGTCAAGGCTGCTGATGCGGTCGTAGAGGAAGTTATTGCGGTTGGTGGCAAGGCGGTTGCTAATTACGATTCAGTCGAAGACGGTGACAAAGTTATTGACACGGCGATTAAGGCGTTCGGGCGCATAGATATACTTATAAACAACGCTGGCATTCTGAGAGATAAATCGTTCATAAAGATGACTGATCAAGAATGGGATCTGGTTCAGAGAATACATTTACGAGGAACGTACAAGGCAACCAAGGCCGCGTGGCCGTACTTTTTAAAACAAAAGTATGGTCGCGTGGTTAATACGACTTCGTCTGTTGGACTTTACGGTAACTTTGGGCAAGCTAATTATAGTACAGGTAAGGCAGACTGACAGTCAACAGACACTGCTTTAAACTATTTTATAGTTATGAATAACAACCGGTTTCCGTCGTCCCAAAGCGAAACTCGGTATACTCGGCCTTAGCAACACACTCGCTCTCGAAGGTGCCAAGTACAACATCCTGGTTAACACAATTGCGCCCACCGCCGGTACGGCCATGACCGCAACAATTTGGCCACAAGAATTAGTCGACACGTTCAAGCCCGATTTCGTTGCTCCGTTTGTCGGGTTTCTTTCGCATGATAATTGCCCAGTTTCCGGTAGAGTCTTTGAAGTAGGTGGCGCTTGGGCTGCTCAGGTCCGTTGGCAACGTGCTGGCGGTGTTGGTTTCCCTACTTCCAAACCGCTCAGGCCGGAAGATATCGCAGCCAAGTGGGACAAGATTACCGATTTCGATGATGGTCGTGCCACGCATCCTACAACCACCCAAGAAGCACTGCAACAGTTCTTTGAAAACTTTGCCAATACCAAGTCGTCCGACGAAGAGGTTTCGGCTTCTGGGGCTGGAAAGATTAATGTTGAAAAGGCCAAGGAGATGAAATTCCCACCATTAGAGCATACGTATACGGCCAGGGATGCTATTATCTATGCCTTGGGTCTCGGTGCGACCAGAAACGATTTGCAATGGGTTTATGAAAACAGTGAAAATTTCTCGGTTATACCGACATATGGTGTTGTTCCCGGTCTTGCTACCGTATTCTCCATGAAGTTGGAGGATGCAGTAGGTGAATTCAATCCGGTTAGTTTACACTGCTTTTACATATGAACGGAAGGACTTTTTTGATGTTAATCCCCGATAACCAAATACTAAAGACTTTTTCTTGTGTTTGTATAGATGATGCTTCTACATGGAGAACAATATCTCGAAATTAAGAGTACCATACCCACTTCTGGCAAACTAATTTCTACGCCTTACATAGTTGACATTCTTGACAAGGGCAAAGGTGCCTCGCTCGTAATTGGTGTAACTACAACAGACGATAAAGGCACAGAAATCTTTAAAAACGAAATCACGCTTTACATTCGTGGCATCGGAGGCTTTGGAGGAAAAAAGACGGGAACCGACCGGGGGGCAGCGACTGCTGCAAACGCTCCACCAAAACGAGCACCCGACGCAACAATTCGAGAAAAGACTTTTGAAGGCCAGGCTGCCTTGTACCGTATGAGCGGAGATTTTAATCCATTGCACATTGATCCAAACATGTCCGCCATGGGAGGTTTCGATGTTCCCATCTTGCATGGGCTGTGCTCGTTTGGTATTTCGGGCAAGCATATTTTGACCACGTTCGCCAATAACGATTCTAGTAAATTCGAGAACATCAAGGCGAGATTCTCGGCACCTGTCTACCCGGGAGAAACGTTGGAGACTCAATGCTGGAAAGAGGGTAATAAAATCATTTTCGAGACCAAGGTTGTTGAACGTGGCGTGACCTGTATCAGTGGCGGAGCTGTCGAATTAAAGGGAGATGCCAGTTCTGCTGCTGGTGACAGTAAGCCCGCTGGTTCTAATGCAGGTGTGGCTGTACCTGGGTTCAAGTCGTCGGCTATATTTGAGGCGCTTAAGGCGTCTATTGATTCGGCAAGTCCTGCTCAGAAGCAAGCTCAGGCTAAAAAAGTCAAGGTAACGAGTGGAGATAATTGTTTTAGTCATTATCTATTGTTGCTTACCTTTGCTGATAATTTATGTATCTTTATTCTTTTTAGGGTATATTCCAAGTTGAAATCAAAGGCGATGGTGGCAAGTCTGCTACTTGGTACATTGATCTCAAAGAGAATCCTGGCGTCGGGGTTGGGCCAAGTCCCAAAAAGCCAGACGCGTCCATCACCATTTCAGATGCCGACTTTACAGATCTAGCAACCGGCAAGGCCAATTCACAAAAATTATTCATGGCTGGTAAACTCAAGATTCGCGGTAATATGATGCTCGCCACTAAACTCGGTGATGTTGTCGGTACCAAGTCCAAGATGTGAAAAACATCAATTTGTAAAAGTGAGGGACCATGCATACTATTTTCATATCCCGAAGAATAGAACATTTCAATTGCTTTCGATATATATTTCAATAATTTTTAGGAATAGAAAAAAAAAATAAATTTTTTTGTTGGAGATTGAACGCTAAAGTATACATCAATAAAGTACGGGTTTAATTTGCGACTCGCGCTCGCGCAAGTCTTTATATAACAAAGAGCATTCTTCGTGGACTGCCCTTTTACACGTGCTTTACGCGATCCATTATTGACATTATCGGCTAGAAATTATCGCGGAAAAGCAGGCGGTTGTACAAGAATAACCAACTGTTGATACAAATACAGTCAAGCCTCGATATAGTAAAGTCGACGGGATAGGGTTTTTTCTTTACTACAAGACTGGATATAACGATAGCTCAATATAATTACTATTAAATCCTATATAAGCTGTTAACCGAAGATTATTTTGAACAGTCTATATCAAATTTACCCCGATAATCTGAAGATTAATGTAGCATTCTAACCAATAAAATTGAATTAATGCGCGTCATGGAGACAGAAAATGAAGCTGAAGATTGTATGAGCGAAGTTTCAGAAAACCCTATTCTTTCAGAGACTAATGCTTGCAAGCGACAAAAAACACTTATTGGAAGCAAAGTTCAAGGAAAATTACATGCTGTCAAAAAACACAAATAGTAATTTTCGAGTAGTTTTAAAACGATTTTACAAATAAACATCACATGCGAGAGTGTGACCGAATATTAATTTAAACGTCCGCTTTTTTTAACCAAGAATAGTTGTTTACAGAGAAATTCAAATTACTTCTCCTGCTAATCCGAAG